TCCTTAGCTTTAAATCGTCTTTATAAGGAACTTTTTACCTTACTTTTCAAGCCCTAAATACTATACCTATAATACTTTTCTCTTATTAGTAAAGGAGAACAAATTATTAGTAAGAGGATATTATAAGTAAGTTCCTTCTAAGATAATATTATTCGAGTTATTTAAATTAATTAAATAATATTATATAACTAAAAGAAAGTTATATTAGAAATAGTTATAAAAGAAGTAATTATATAAGAAGTATTTAAGTTAAGATAATTACTTTTATTTTAAATTAATAAATTAGAACTACTTTATTAAAAACTTAACTCTATATATAGCCTAGAGAATAAAATTATTAATATTAACTCGGAAGTTCGAAATTTAAAGAATAAGTAATTATTTAATAAGAATAACTAATCGGGAAATAAAGAAACAGATAAATTATTCTTAAAAATATAGAAAGATACTTAGAATTTATTCTAGAAATAATAATACTAAATTCTATTCCCGAGTATTACTATTAAATATTAGTAAGAGCCAGGAAATATTAAATTATATATAAAGTACCTGTTTTTATTTCGAAATCTAATAAAAAGTTAGTAATTATAATATTAAATAATTATAGTTAAATATTATAAGATATTATCTAAATTAAATATTATAAAATAATACTTGCTATTATTTCTTATATAAAAGTAATAAAGCTCAAGTTATATTAATAATAAAGATAATAGAAAAATAAAGGCCATAATTATAATTAAGTTAACTTTTAGTATTAATAAAAATTTTATAATAATAGAAAATAAAAAAGACTATTTTATTATAAGAGAGAAAATAAGACTAAGTTTTCTATAATCCGGTATATTTATCTAATTATACTAGCTACTAGTATAATTATTTCAAATAAAAAAGCTAGTAAAATTATATATATTAGTTTTTTTATTTTCTATAAAAATCTATAGTAATTTTTAAAAGAAATTATAATTATAAGTCTTAACTTATATTACTATTTTAAAGACTTTATAATATCGAGTTAATTATAGCTAACTAATATCTAGTTAAGCTTAGTAATATTAGTTTAAAACCTTTTATATAGGCCTCTAAACTATATAATTATAGCTGGATTTAGAAGTAACTTCTTCTCGGGCAAGTTCCCGGAAAGCTATTTTTATTTAATTTCGAAATCTAATTTATTTATTATTCTCCTATTTATTTATCTAGATAACTTTCTTATAACTTACTTTATAGATAAGAGAAATTACTTGAAAATAAGTAATTAGGGTATAATAATTTTCTAATAAAATAAGTATTATCTTAAGATAATTATTAGAAAAGAAAATAATTTAACTAGTATATAAATACCCTATAATAGTTTATAGAAATACTTATAAGTAAGGTAAGATTAAAGGTTATATTAAAGATTTAAGGAAATAGCTTAGTTTAAAAATAATATATTAAGTTAATATTTATAGAATACTTTTAGTAAATAAATAAGTATAATTCTATATTATTATATTAGAAATAAGTAAAATAGTATTCCTATATTCTTATATACTAGGGATATCTTTAAAAAATAATATAATAGAATACTATAATACTTTTTTAGATAAAATATTCTTTTTTTATTCTTTTTTTCTAAAGAAATATAAGTTTAATATAATAATTAAAAGAACTAGAAATATTATTTCTTATCTAGAAATCTTTAAAGAGCTAAATAAATTCAGATAATAAAGGTAGCTTAGTATTTTTAAAAGTAGTATTTATTATTATTAGTAAGGGTATTTAAGGTTATATTAGTAATAAAAAGAGGTTTTTTAGATAATAAGAAATATAGAAAAAGGTATTTATTATACTTTATTACTTTATTAGGAAATTTAGTATTATATAATTATATAATAATATATGCGGTTAGGGCTAGTATTTAGAATACTAAAGCTTTTATATATATAAGCTTCTTTCCTTAGTTTAGAATTCTTGAATTAAGAGCTACTTTACTTGCTTTTTAAGCCTAGAGCCTGGTTTTATAATATTATTCTAAACTTATTCTTGTTTCTATAGAAAAAATAAAACTACTTTTATATTTTATATATATATATAATTTTTATAGTAATTTAATAATAGAGCTATTAATATATATAGTTACGGAACTATTATTTTTAGAGAAATTAAAAGCTTATTAGGCTCTCTCTTACTTTAAGTTTTTATTATAAAGTAATCTTTATAGATTTAGATTACTATTATAATTACTAAGCTTTAAGTAAAGGTTTAATACTAAGCTAAGCTACTTTAATAGTAAAGTAATTAGCTCTCTTAGTAAAGTAATAAACTTCTTTTCTTATAAGCTTATTTCTTTTCTTTCTTCTTTATAAAACCAAAATCCTTTCTTTTATATCCCGAAAAATTTAATAGCCAAGTTTATAAGTTTAATACCTGGCTTTCTTTAATTAAGGCTAAACTATAAGTTAATTATAAAGCTATTAGTAATACTACTACTTAGTTCTATTATATCTACTTTAATCTAAAATTATATATTTAAGCTATAGTTCTATCCTAGCTTTTCTAGACTAAAGAAAACCAAATCTAGTTCTATCTCTTAATTCTTAACTAACTTTCTTGTATTTATTTGAATTCAAATAAGATATAGGAAATAAAGAATAAGCTATATTCTCTTAAGTAAGGCACTAATTTGCTTTATACTTTTATAACTAAGTTCGAGCGAATTCTATATAAGATATATAAATAAAACTAGAATAATATTAATAAGATTATAGCTTTCTGCTAAGGGCTTAATATTATAATTAAGAATAGGCTAGCTTAATAACTAAACCTCTCTCGAACCTATATTAAGTTTATTAAGATAATATAATAGCTAGCTAGATACTCTAATATATATAAATACTATAATTCTAGAAAGAAGCCTTATTATTACTTAAGTAAAGATAATACTATAAATATATTAATTATTAATACTATTAGTATAATTGTCGAGCTTTTATAATTCTTTTCTCTACTTTTCTCTTTATAATACTTTTCTTTCTATATAAATAGTTAAGTATAATCTATATTTCTAGTAAAGTACTAGTAGCTTTATAAGTAGGGCAAGTATATATACTATAATAATAGTAAATACTAGGTAAAGAACTATAATATTAAACTATATAAGAAAATAGGAAAGAAGATACTAAAGCCAGAACTAAAAGTTATAATAGGCGAGAATAATAGAAAAGTAGTAATTTATATAGTTAATAATTCTAATAGTAGCTATAATTCTAATGCCTTAATTAGATCCTATAGCCCTAATTCTAATTCAGATTCGGATATAGAGGAACTAGTATATTAGGAACTAGTAAATTATATAAATAGAAAATACTAGAAATAGAATATATAAGAATATATAAGATTATATAATTTTCGAGTACTCGAGATAAGCTTTCCTAAAAAGAAAAATAATATTATACTTTACTACTTTACTAGGAAATTTAGTATTATATAATTACGTAATAATATATATAGTTAGGGCTAGTATTTAGAATACTAAAGCTTCTATATATACGAGCTTTCTTTCTTAGTTTAGAATTCTCGAATTAAGAACTATTTTATTTGCTTTCTAAGCCCAGAGCCCGGTTTCGTAATAGTATTTATAAATAAATAGAAGCTATATTCTTAATAAATTAGAAAAAAAGATTTAGAAATAGAGATTTATTTATTAGGAAAAGAAATAAAGCTAGTAAATACTAGTATTTTGGATTTGTTATATAACTATCTCTAATTAATATTTCTTCTATATAAATTCCTACTATAATCTTATTAACTAGTAATTTAAAATCCGGGTTATATAAATCTTCTCGATTTATAAATTTAGTATTAGAATAATAAATAGTTCTCTATATATAATAGTAATTCTTGCTCTAACTATAACTTTTACTATAATAAGTTTTAGAATACTTATACTAACTATTATAGATATACTATAGATCTTTTCTATATAATTATTAGTAACTTATATATAAGTATACTTGTTTTATATAATATAAAATTATATCTCAAACTAATAGACTACTAGATCTCTTATTATAAACCTATTTATTATAAACTATTCTATTATTATATAAATCTCTACTAATATATTAATTTTATTTTTAGTTTAGTATTAAGCCTTAATTACTTATAGCTATATTTCTATCTTAAGAATATATAAGAGCCTATTTATATCTTCTAGTAATTCTAAAGATATTAGAATTTAATAATTATTTAGAAGAATAGTTCTATAGTTTATAAGTTTTAGTGGAATTATTTATATAATAATAAAAGTAGCTTCTTTCTTACTAATAATAAACTTTATAATATCCGAGCTACTATTATAAAGGTTAGTATTTATTTAGAGCTATAGACTATATTACTTTTATCTTAAGTAATATCTAAACTAATATATTCCTATAGCCTCTTACTTATTTAGAGCTATTATTTATTTATTTATTATTATTTAAATACTTATTATTATATTCTACTACTTTACTAGGAAATTTAGTATTATATAATTACGTAATAACGTATATAATTAGGGCTAGTATTTAGAATACTAAAGCTCCTATATATACGAGCTTTCTTCCTTAGTTTAGAATTCTCGGATTAAAAGCTACTTTACTTGCTTTTTAAGCCTAGAGCCCGGTTTCGTAATATTATTCTAAACTTATTTTTATTCTTATAAAGAAAGTAAAACCACTCTTATATCTTATATATATATATGATTTTTATGGTAATTTAATAATAAAGCTATTAATATATATAGTTATAGAACTATTATCTTTAGAGAGATTAAAAGCTTATTAGGCTCTTTCTTACTTCAAGTTTTTACTATAAAGTAATCTTTACAGATTTAGATTACTACTATAATTACCGAGCTTTAAGTAGAGATTTAATACTAAGCTAAGCTACTTTAATAGTAAAGTAATTAGCTCTCTTAGTAAAGTAATAAACTTCTTCTCTTATAAGCTCGCCCCTCCTCTCTCTTCTCTATAAAACCGAAATCCTTCCTCCTATATCCCGAAAAATTTAATAGCCAAGTTCATAAGTTTAATACCTGGCTTTCTTTAATTAAGGCTAAGCTACGAGTTAATTATAAAGCTATTAGTAATACTACTGCTCAGTTCTACTATATCTACCTTAATCTAGAATCACACGTTCAAGCTATGGTTCTACCCTAGCTTTCCCAGGCTAAAGAAGACCAAACCTAGTTCTATCTCTTAATTCTTAACTAACTCTCTCGTATTTATTCAAATCCGAATAAGATACAGGAAGCAGAGGACAAGCTATACTCTCTTAAGTAAGGCACTAATTCGCTTCATACTTTTATAGCTAAGTTCAAGCGAATCCTATATAAGGCACATGAACAAGACTGGAATAACGTTAATAAGATTATAGCTTTCCGCCAAGGGCTTAATACTATAATTAAGAATAGGCTAGCTTAATAGCTAAACCTCCCTCGAACCTATACCAAGTTCATTGAGACAGTATAATAGCTAGCCGGACGCTCTAGTACGTACGAATACCATGACCCTGGAAAGAAGCCTTACTACTACTTAAGCAAAGATAATACTATGGACATATTAACTATTAATACTATTAGTATAATTACCGAGCCTCCGCGATCCTCCTCTCTACCCTCCTCTCCACGATGCTTTCCCTTCCATACGAATAGTCAAGTATAATCTATATCCCCGGCAGAGCGCCAGTAGCTTTGCAAGCAGGGCAAGTGTATATACTATGGCAATAGTGAATACTGGGTAAAGGACTGTAATATTGAGCCATATAAGGAGACAGGAAAGAAGATACCAAAGCCAGGACCAAAGGTTATGGTAGGCGAGAACGGTAGAAGAGTGGTAATCTGTATAGTTAATGATTCTGATAGTGGCTACGATTCTAATGCCTCAATTGGACCCTATGGCCCTGATTCTGATTCAGATTCGGATATGGAGGAACTGGCATATTAGGAACTAGTGGATCGCATGGATAGGAAACGCCGGAAGTAGGACATACGAGGACATACGAGATTATACGATTTTCGAGCGCTCGGGACGAGCTTTCCTGAAGGGGGGGGGTAATATTACGCTCTGCCGCTTTATGTTGAAATTAGGGGCCTGAGGCCCCTAATAGGCTTAGTAAGCCCTGGAACCGAACGCCATGGGGCTGTGCACTAGCTTAATACCCTGTCCAGCTGGAATACCCTGTATAGCTGGAATACCCTATACGGCTGGAATACCCTGTATAGCTGGAATACCCTGTATAGCTGGAATACCCTGTACGGCTGGAATACCCTGTATAGCTGGAATACCATATACGGCTGGAATACCCTGTATAGCTGTAATCGGTTCAGCTGGCATAGGGATTTAGTACATGTGACTTAGGGGGTTCAGGGCTATATATACGGGCTACTTACCACTGTAGAACAGCAGTCAATTCAGTATCATTTACTTGGTTTACATTACAAGCACGTGACCCTAGCTTTATTACTTAGCTAGTTCAACACTTTACTAGGAAATTTAGCGTCACGTGACCACGCAATGACGCATGCGGTTGGGGCTAGTATTTAGAACACCAAAGCTCCTGTACATACGAGCTTCCTTCCTTAGTTTAGAATCCTCGGATTAAGAGCCACTCTACCTGCTTTCCAAGCCCAGAGCCCGGTTTCGTAACACTTATAATAGAATTCTTGCCTATTTTACTAGTAAGAATATAGCCCGTTACTAGTATATATTTACTAATCTCGTTTAATTATATTTCGGTAATAGTTTATACTATTTATAAAGTATATTATTATATTATTATATTATAGTAATATAATATTATAATATTATAGAGCTATTTAGTAAAGTTAGTTTAGTAAAATACTAAAAGTTTCTCTGGGACGTTTTATAATAGGCCAAGTATACTTTATTAATTATAAATTTATAATTTATTATTAGTAATTAGAAGCCAATTTTTAAGTAGTAATTATTTCTCCTATTTCTATTACTCTTATTAAATTAGATAATCCTATTATAAAATATATTTTATATCTATAAAATCTAGTCTATTAGTTTCTGTAATATTAATTATTATTCAAGATTATACTTCTTTTAATTTCCTTATCTCTAGTAGCTAGATAACTAAGAATACTTTAAGCTATTATTAAATGCCTCGAGTCTAGTAAAGCCTGCTTATATAGTAATTTCTGCTAGTTACTTCCTGATTTCACCTAAGATTATAGTATTCTCTTCTATTTATTCTCAAATATAATATAGTTATTAATAATAATTAGGTCGGTTCTAGTACTATAATTAGTATTCTTATTCTTTCTTTATATTAATATTATTAAAGGAGTAATAGAGTAATAAATAGGCTGAGATATAAGCCGAGACTAGTATATTATAGAAGGATACCTAATGAAACCCAGTTTTTAAAGTTTTTCATTTTAGGGTATTCTTCTGGGGCCTCTACTTATTAAAAAAATCCTACTACTACCTTTTATTACACTCCTTAAACATTATAGTATATATGCAATTATCTCACCTTATAGTACCTTCATAATTGTAACCGTCCGATACGGTCGACGGGTTTCAATAGTATCCATAGCCTCGAAGCTCCGGTGAGACAGTACCTATAATAGAGAAGGTAAAGAATCTGTATAAGCTGCTCCGGGAGGAATATTTCTAGTAGGTAGTCTTGTGGATTGGCCATAGACTGAGCTAACCCACCGTTATAGGCTCTTTGAGAGAGAGGATATTAAGATCCTGTATAGAACAAGTAATAACCGGAAGGAATATATGGTCCCTCGAAAGCTCCTCTGCGAATATTCTAATTACGCCCTAATACTTGTCAGGAATACGAATACCAATATACTCGACCTTATATACCGCTGGTCGGCAATAGTCAATACATAGATAGATCACCTATGACTCCGTAAAGTCAGCTTCTCCCCAATTGCGCCACCTGTATTACTGGACATCTCCGATTCCCTTTTAGCCGAATACAAACAAATGGAGCCTCCCAACCGGCCATTATCGGTACTAGACCAAATCGTGGACCTAGCTAGCTCTTCGGACTTTATGCAGTACCGTACGGACTATCTCTGCGAGTTTGTTGCTGCTAATGGACTCAAGGATAAATTGAATACATTCAAGCGGCGCCGTTCCTTCAGCCTATAAAATGCATCCAACCTATTTTCTATCTCTCCCAATACTTCAAACCTCGACAGAGCCTGGACTGTCGTAGGCAAAGCTCTCGGTCCGTTCTACGCCTGTCGCCTGCTGGAGGTGAGCTCCGTTCATCGTGGCCGGCCGGTGCTGCGAGAGAATTCGGGGTCCCGGAAGGGCTTGTTATGGCATATTCGGAATTCTTCAAAGGGGGTTTCAGTGGGAAGGGATTCTTGGATAAGGGGATGGATATAATAAAGTTCGAGCGAAGCTGGCCCTCAATCATTGATGCGTTTCTCGATATTAACAAGATCGAGCCCAAGATCCGGGTCCCTGACATATTATCGAGATACGTTGAGTATGCAGTAAAGGTCAATATGGATACTCCAAACTCCCCATATAACGAGATAGCGATGTGGGTGGGAATCGCGAAGTTCGCAGACATGATTCTGTGGAAATCGAGTAATCCATACGACTGGGTCACGGCAAGAATCAAAGAATATCTGATCGAGACCTTTAATCCTTTCAAGATTCTCCCGAATACCGGCAACTCAGGCAAACATGCGAGAAGCAATATTGTTAAGAGCCTGGTTTGTAGCACCTGTCGTAAGAATGCGCTTGTGGCGAAGAAGTTGGAGACGGAGGACTCTGACAAAGAAAGTTGTCTTGGCAATACTTGTAGCACCTCTAATCATAAGAAGGCCATTGCCGAGTCCTCGATGAGATCGAAATTGCCAATGTATTGCGCGGTATTGTCAGGCTTCTGGTATTTTGCGATGCTGGTATTTGAGAATCTATGGCTGTAGAGCGCCACAGCTTCCTCATTTGGAGAGTAGTCATCCCAGCCATTGTCCTAGCGACGGTTTGTGTTATATGAGGGCCGGCCTTGGACTCGGGGTGTTTCGCGGAAGTCAGGACTGGTTTTCTGTAAAAAATAAAAAAAATGTCATTATGGCTCTATAAAAATGTGGAGAATCTCAAACTTATATTGTCCCAAGTCCTCTGAGTTTGAGGGGCAGCGCCGGGACTAGCTGAGGAACCTGCGGGACATGGGACGCCTGGGTTGTTCAGAGCGGCATCTGGTGTGGCAGTGGTAGGTACTTCGAGGTCGGGAGTGTTGGCCGTCATGATGGGAATACCTTCGATCTTTGGAGCGCGTCAGCAGAACGTTTATCGAGGAGAAATTGGAATGCAAACTTGAGGCGCTTCTTGAACAATTCGATCAGCTGTCGACTGCTCAGTGCCTGTCAGTGGCGACTGAGAAGGTGGTGCCTAATAATGATCAATACAATGAAGTAAATACGGAGTCGCAGTAGGGGCTGGAGATGCGCTTTAGGATGCAAGATCGAACCTTGATCGTCTTCGGGTGCGGGTGTTGTTGACGATATCTGAGTCGGCTCTGACGTGAGCTCGATGCAATAGTCAAGGGGACTGGGTGCATGGTTTCTTACCTGGACATCCTTGCGGAGCCGATGCTCTTAGCGGGGAAGGAAAGTAGGTTTAGAGAAGGTATTTGTTTAAGTGAAGGCGACAGAGCATTGATGGGAGCGAGCGCTTTCATGGGTGTCACGTGACCTTCTTTGACGAAATTGATAGTTCAGATGTCAAAAAGGCAGAAGTGAGACTTGTCCAGGTAATCGATCGACGGGGTAGAAACACACTCTAGGTGATACGGTAGTGAGCTCTAGAAATAACGATATTTGCTAGAACAGAAGCCCGATGCTCGTGGAAGCTCGAGGGCAACACTGAAGATCCTCAGAAGAAATAGGCAGAAGTGAACCAAGTACCAGGTTGATGAATTACCGGGTATTTTACACGTCACATATGAACACCAGAGATTTCTAGAATTGTGAATATTTCTAGAAGAGAAGCGTGAAGCTCGTAGAAGCTTGGGAGCGAGGCTAAATACTCCTTAGCGCCATAATTAAGCGAAATGTGTGCCTAAGGCTGAAGCGAATTTTCCCCCTCACAACACTAAATATGCCTTAGCGCGAAAGTTAAGCGATGAGTGTCTTGAGGCTTAAGAGAATCTCCCCCTTCGCAACGACTCGGTGATGAGAAGAGGTTCTTTAGGTGGTAAGGGGTGCGGAGAAGGCTTTGCGGATGGATGGAAGCTATGCTCGGAACGGGGAAGGAAAGGAGGTTTGGAGATGGAGATCTGTTTATCTGAAGGAGAAATGAAGCCAGTGGACGCTAGCGCTTTGGGTTTGTCACATGACTGTCTTTAACGAGTACGGCATACGAGAGAAGAGGGGACACAAGTCTTCTATTTCTTTGCACGATGTGCACGGTCCAATTGTTCGACAGTGGTGGGCAGGTCGATGACGCTATCGCAGGATTGAAGCCGAGGCCTATTATTAATATTATGGATCCAGCAATCCGAGACCTGTATAAATTTGTTCCGATAGATGGTGGGCACTTTTGGTTATAATGCGAGGTGAGAGGATGGGTTGTTAGACAGAATTTGTAGTAAGAATATAAAAATATTAAGTTTGTGCAAAGAATTCTGCCCGTAGTATAGAGCCGGTGCATAATTGTGAGGCGCACAATAGCAGGGCGCTGCACAAGTAGTCAAGGTAAGGTAGAGTATAGAGTGACGCTTACAAGTATAACTAATTGCAAGAAGTGACTCTCATAAGAGACTAATCAATCACCCCTTCTAAAGCTATGTCTCTCTCTCTATATACCCCCTAGCGCTTAGCTAGGTAGTGCCTAGCAACATGCTCCGTCTGCGTGGGGGGAAAATCGCCGAGACATAAATTAGATACAAGTTCCACCTTACAACCATTTCATGGTCTAAATGACTACTTCAGTATTCCCCGCAAGATGCTTCCCTAACATAGCTGGAAATCGACTCTGAACGGGACTGCACCTGATGGTACGCAAGGCATATTGCGATCCTGCCAAAACTAACTCCTAGCAGTCGCTCGTCCGTCCTCCGATACCACGATACAAGGGTACGCGACATTATGGCCGCTGATTGCAGAGGCTCTGAACACCATGACCCAGCCCGCTGGTCGCGTGTGTGGTCAGCTTGTTGCATTCAGATTTATCCTCCGCGCTTCACCTTATATCGATGTCTCTGATGCAATAAGTCTTGCACTGCGTCTATTCATCTACAGGTCGATCGTTTTAAAGCTTCCCCGATGGGAACGCATGTATTCGGGAATTAAAACGGCATGCAGCGTTACGCTGGGTTATCTCCGTTGGCTGAACAGTCGAAATGGTGATCAAAATCCTCTCGTCTGGAGGCATCCCTATTACCAGTTGATTCGCGTTGGGATACCTCTTCCCCTTCGTTGTCTTAGAGGCGGTCTTCTTGTCTATTCCGATAAGGCCTTCCACTGCCGGCTGCCGTCCGGGTGAAAATGAAGAGATTCGAGACGGGTCTAACGGCACAGCTCAATGGCAGGGGGCGGAGGAAGACATGAATTTTATGGCTACCACGATGAACAAGCAATGGAACGGTGCCGAAGCCTTGATGACAGACTCAGATGGATGGACTGTGCCTTCCTAGTCGTTGGCACCGTCCTTCATCTGATATTCGTCTCTTGGGCTTACGACAACCTTTGGAAATCTCTCCACTGGAGCCCACCCAACGACTATACTAGGCTTACATGCCACGAATTTTGGTTTGTACTCGGCGTTGAGTTGCCCCTTTCATTGGAGTTGCTGGCACCCTGGCGGGCTTATACACAGTTACCATCTTTCATCGCTGTACTCGGCTGGATCCAAAAACCTTCATTATTAGTGAGAGAGGGATTACCGCTCTATCTGCCGTCGCCTTCCTCCTCTGCCTCGGCTTCGGTGCATGGATTCAGTTTTGCAAGATTGCACTTGTGATTCTGGCCTTCCAGTGTGTAATAGTTAGCCTCTTGTACGCAATCTATCACAATCGCTTTCGCGGTGCTTTTCTCCCCCTGACTCAACGCACAGGGGAACAAAATCTCGATCCTGCAAGGTTCACGGCCACCAACCTGTGTCTTACGTTCTTTAAATTATCTGTTATCATCACGATACTTTGGTACGATACTCGTTTCAATTCTGTCGGGACACGAATACCGGCATGGCCCAAGGTTTTTGGGTAAGAGAACATAATGTTTAGGTAGTGATTTTGGTCCACTGGAAGTTTAAGGAGTGAGAGAAGAATTAGCTAACAATTCTCTGTTCAAAACCTCGAGCTTTGTGGTCAGAAGTATTCGCCACTGTCTTGTTTATATTAATTGAGAAGCTATAAAGATCAAATCTGATCAGTTTTCGAAGCACTCGGCTGTTAATGGCTCAGCATGCATCGATCGAGCGATTCAAGACCGTCTATCACCTTTCGGCGGCACTAAGGATTGGGCAACACCAAAATCCGAACGCCACCTTCAATCCTGTGATAGGGAACAGAAATTGACATGGCAAGCTGGTACTTCCAGGCGACCAGGGCGCTGCGATCTGATTGGCTAGTACCGAAATCCGATTCCAGCGAGGCTCGGCGTTGCGCTCCACGATTTGGACGAAACCCACAGGCACCTGGAGCCACCGAGGAGTATCAAGCTACTTATTGGCCCAAAAAAATCTGAACGCATGTGATGTGCAGTTTCAGAGTCCCCAGAAGCCGTAGTGAGACTGCGAGTCGTGCTTCTTGCTCCATAGCTAGCATAGTTCGTCAAAATGTCGACAACAGCATAAAATATCAGATTGCAACCTTATAAATACTCGTCTTCAGTCGTTAGCGAGGTAGAATCTATCACTATTTGACACCATATTCCACCCGTGGAACGTCGCTACTCGACCTTAACTGAATATTTTCCCCCCGCATGGGAATTTGAGAAACCATCTCCTCACCTTGAGCTTGCTGTATTTTCTTCGGGTGGAAGCGGTATAGGGTATGGACAAACAACAAGTACGGCCGGGTTTCTCGTTTAAGGTCTCGCAAGTCATGCTAACCTGGTCTTACAGAGCATGAACCAGAATGACCTCCACGCGAAGGCTGACAACAAGGACAGCCGCCAGACTGATCTCGGCCGAAACAGCGAAGCAAGAACAACGAAGAAGGCCCGTAGTTCTCGTCATGGGCACAAGTCTGGAGAGCCGCAGGCTGGTGAATCCCACAAGTTGATGCCTTGCCCGATAGAGGATCCGCCCATCGAGGGAAGTCTACCTCTGCACCGATGGCTGGAGGAGTCTAAAGCAGACGCGCCTTTCTACGGAATTGTCGTTGGAGGTAGCAATCACACAGTCACGCAAGATATTCCTGAGGCGAGTAACTACAGTAGCTCGGTCGAAGTAGAAGTGGGGAGTGAGATTGGTGTGCATTCGAACGATCTGTGAACGTGTAGAGTAATTCGCGTAGCAGGGTATTGCGGAATTTTTGCCGAAATGGAATGTTTGAGCTGGTAAAAACAAGGATCCTCTTCATCTGAACTAGATTCTTGGATTTGCGATTAAAACCCACCCGGAAGGACCCCATTTTCCAATGTTATTAGGATATGCGTGCAGGCGGCGATTTTGTTCTATGAGATGAGTTAACGCATTTGCACACTCGACGGGACCAAAATCCGACGCCAAAGGCTTCCACACAGTTTCAAAATCAGATTCTGTTCCAAGCCAATCAGAAGAGTGTGCAGCGAGTCACTGCCCTACGGAAAGCCATAAGGATCACTAGTTCAAGCGACCTTTACGAATCGGGTTTTCATAGTTCACCCTCCAAAAATGCTATGCCACACTCCACGAAAAAGCTAACCACTAAATTTTAACGGTTGGAGCCTATAATTTAGTGACTAGAGGCTATATTGCTTACTCGCGACTCGCGACTCTCGATTCTTAATACTTAATTTTCGACTTCCAACTCCCCGCCCACGCCCTTCCTCCATCCCCTCCTGGAGTTACGCCTCTACTATTACTATGATCCTTTTCTAACTTACTTTAACTATAACGTATATACGCGCGCGCGATAATAGATAATAATAAGGCGGCGGGGATGCGTATTTAGGAAAAAAGTATAGGCGATGTTTGGCAAGGTGCAAAGTGTTGAACTAGCTAAAGCAATATAGCTAGGGTCACGTGCTTGCAATGTAAACCAAGTAAACGGTACTGAATTGACTGCTGTTCTACAGTGGTAAGTAGCCCGTATATATAGCCCTGAACCCCCTAAGTCACATGTACTAAATCCCTATGCCAGCTGAACCGATTACAGCTATACAGGGTATTCCAGCCGTACATGGTATTCCAGCTGTACAGGGTATTCCAGCCGTACAGGGTATTCCAGCCGTACAGGGTATTCCAGCTATACAGGGTATTCCAGCCATACAGGGTATTCCAGCCGTACAGGGTATTCCAGCTATACAGGGTATTCCAGCTGGACAGGGTATTAAGCTAGTGCACAGCCCCATGGCGTTCGGTTCCAGGGCTTACTAAGCCTATTAGGGGCCTCAGGCCCCTAATTTCAACACAAAGTTCGCTTAAATTTAGACTGGTGATCCTTATGGCTTTCCGTAGCGGTTGGGCACAGCCCACATCAACCGAAGAATACCCGAGCCAGATGGAACATAAATCTCACCCAAGCCTCATGCTTTGAATCCATTTCTCCTTTGCAGAACAGAGCCTTCCGTCTCATCGAATGTAATCACATCATTTCTTGCCCGCCCCGCGTTCACGTACCCTGCCATATCTCTACGTCTAACTTTAGCCATCGTTCCCTCGCTCCGTTAGTCTAACCCTGCTTCCATTTGCTCGTGTCATTTCTGTTTCATTCGGAATGGCGAGTGTTGTAGCCACGAGGCGCCTGGCTCCTCTTGATTGGGCTCGTCATGAAAGCACAATTCGTCAACTCTATGTGGGGGATGATATGGGCCTCTCTGCGGTCAGAAACAAAATGGCCAACGAATTTGGGTTCCATGCTAGGTAGGCATGAATCTGTCTCTTCTCTCAAATGCCAAAGCACACAAAACCCATCAGACTAACGGTAGTTGAAGCAAGTCCCAGTTCGAGACGCAACTCAAGAAATGGGGCTTGCGCAAGAATCACACGAGCGCAGTATGGAAAATCATCGCTCATAATTTACATCACCGACAGTTGGTGGGAAAGAAAACAGCCGTGTTCTTTGATGGCCACCTCATACCCGACGTCAGAGTACAGCGGGAGATATCACGCCATGGCTCTCTAGCGATTCGGAAACGTCAAAGTCAAGGTATCCCATCATCTCCCAGCATACCCGCAAGTTCCAGACCAGGAGACTAATTATGCCTTGCTAGACTGCCACTCGCCTGTGCCTCGGGTTCCACCCCGATTTTCGCTCCGCACGCCACCACCTGAAAGGGTTGACCCGGTTGAAAATAACAATTTGCCAACCATGCAGCTGTTTCAGTCTCTTGATAGTTACTATAGTATGCTAAGATTTCCAATTGACGACACTCAAAAGAGTTGATGCTAACTTGGCTGAATGTAGATGATCAGGGACCATACAGACCGCCTCTCACTCGCCCGGCATACATCAATCCGGAGCTATTGACCCGGGCTGGCGATTTTGCTAGCGAATCCTGGGTGCCGTCTGAAATGGTGCCATTTTCAGAGCCCCTAACTTCGCAACTCGTGCGTGGAGACCAACTTCCAATCTCAGAACGACGCCTCCAGGCAATCTTGCCACTAGCCTTACATACTTCCAATCTCATTGGACCCTCGGACGAGGTTTCAATGGCAATTCAGGGATCTCCATTTTTATATACCCCGCACGCGAAGCTGCTCCTATTCGGCATAGCTAATAACTTTGCCGGCATGGAGGATCTCTCGTATTCCGACGTCTGGAAATCCTTGAAAGCAAAAGCAGGGGCAGAACTTCTCAAGTTTCTCCACCAACTGCCTCCTAGCAGCCAAGCTAGCAGAGCAGTTGTGGAGAAACTGTTCCAGTGTGCCATTGAGGCCGATGACACAGCAGCTGTTGAGATTCTCCTCAAGTCTCCAGAGATCAGAATCAATGCAAATGAGGTTGTCTGCCGAAGTCATGAACGTGGAACAGAGACCGCTCTTGAGTTCGCTGCCTCTTGCAGGCAGATCCAAATGGTCAGCGTTCTCCTTTACCATGGTGCCGATGTCAATAAGTCCATTGAATCGTTCGATCATTATGGACGGAGGCACAGTGGTGCTCTCGCACGTACTCTAAACCGGCGATACCATGGTGGCCCTCCTCCTCCTCCTCCTCCTCCTCCTCCTCCAACCAGAAACGTGGCGGAAGATCGGACATTCCAACTCGTCGATCTCCTCTTGCGTCATGGCGCTGTAGTTGACACCTCGATTATCAGCTTGGCCTTGTACTCTGGCTCCCTTACCGCTCTCGAACGGCTTCTCCTTACTGGCGGAGCTGATGATCATATTGAGTGGGCCAAAAGCGGGATATTTCACAGAGCAGTTGCATTTATGGGCAATGAAGCAGCAATCAGACTCTGTGAAGTACTTGTCCAAAATCGCCTTGTTTTGGAGATTCTACGTGAGGAGTCTATAAAATCACCATTTTGGAATTTCCACGATAGTTGGCCGACACATTTTCTTGATGTGGTAGTATTTCGACAAAATATCAGTGTTGCTAAGATGCTCCTTGTCGAATATGACTTCTATATGACCGAAACTACTCTCACTTTTGCAATCCAGAGTGGAGGTATGGAGTTGGTGCAGTTTCTACTTGAAAGAGGAGCCATGGCAGATCCAGCCCCAATTGCCACTTATCATCTCCTACCGAAGATATCATATATGGCTACTCCATTATCCGAAGCCATTCGGTTCAAAAGAGCGGGAATAGTGAAGTTGCTAGAGGAACATGGAGCTCTCCGTCAGATAAAGGAGGCCACTCGATATCATGCCGCATTGGTGGCCACTTTTCACGCTGGCAACGTCGGTATGGCCAATCGACTACTTGAACTCCACGGCCCCCATACACCTGAGATACTGGGCTATGGCCTGGTAGAAGCCATTCGGTCGAACCAAAGTAAGCTTGCCCTCAGACTGCTCGAACTGGGAGCCAGTGAGAGCTCCAGCGAGACAGTCGATGCTTTGAGTTTGGCCATGCAAAAAAGGGAATCCAAACTAATCAGGGCGCTTCTTGATTCACCTGACATTGATTTTGCGGCTCGCTACGCAACGCAGTTTTCGCCTTTATTCGAAGCTGTCAAACGTGGCGATCGCTCCCTTGTCATGGAATTAATCATGGCTGGTGCGCCTGTTAACGCAGGTACTGATTCAATAACACCGCTAATCATGGCGGTCAGAGCCAACGATAGGGAGCTGGTTGAGCTTTTATTGAGATTTGGGGCGTCGGTCAATTTCTCGGTTGGGGGCGATGACCCAAGATATGAAATCGACGAGGCATTCGATGACATAGTCTCTTCGAATGAGAACGAAGTCGACTCTGGAGAGAATAATATCGACGTCGATTCAAGAGAGAGCGATATCGATTCATATGAGAATGAAGTCAATTATGGGGAGAATAACGTCAATTTTGGGGAAGACGACGTCTATTCGGATAACGACATAGATTCGGATGAAGGCAGCGTCGGTTCGGATGAGGACGGCGTCAGTTCGGACGAAGGCGACGTCGGTCCACCTCCCATTGAAGTTATGACTCCACTAGTTGCTGGCATCATGAACGGAGACATCGATATGATATCATTCCTGCTGTCCAACGGAGCAGACCCTTCCGATGCTAGTGCATTGGCAGAGGCGGTGTATATGAAGAATCTAGAAATTATGGATGTTCTGCTGGACAAGTTCCGCGAGAGTTATCCTCGAGGCAAGGCTGTCTATGGCCTTGAGGCAATGCGGATTGCAGTTCGTCGCGGAGATCTACCTCTCGTTGCCAAGCTCCTGGCGAATGGAATTGGCACACCGCTTATATCTGCACTTGTAGTAAAGCATCCAGAGTGGGACGACAACCAGAAAACGCCTTTTGTGGAAGCGATTGAGCAGGATAGTGAGACAGGATTTGCCATATTTCGCATGATGTTAGACGCGATGATTGAAAGGAACACTGCAGCAAGTTTAAATGCCATCGTCTACCGCAGAAGGTGGGACTCAATACACGGCATTGGTAAGGTCGAGAACGAGACAGCGCTGCTGGTGGCTGTCAAGGTTCAAAAAATCGACAAAGTACAACTACTCGTAGAGATGGGCGCAGATGTTAATCGCTCAACGGTCCTTGGCGTGAAGAGAACGCCGTTGCAAAAAGCCGCCGAAGTGGGAGATTTTAGGATTTCCGAGTACCTTATCAACCGGGGGGCGGATGTCAATGCTCCTCCTGCCGGAAGTGGAGGTGCGACAGCTCTGCAGTTCGCCTGCATTTATGGATATGCCGGTATCGTCGATCTGTTGCTACAAAATGGTGCCGACCTAGACGCTGCACCGGCGAGATCCGAGGGCAGAACTGCACTAGAAGGAGCCGCCGAACACGGCCGTCTTGACATTGTGGCCATATTGTTGAATGCTGGCATTAAGGTCCATGGAGATCACCGTCCGCAGTTTGAGCGAGCTATTGAGCGTGCTCAAGAGGCTGGTCATTTCGCTGTAGTGGATCTCTTGGTTAGTGACTCAAGGCCCAGCCAAAAGCGCGAGCCGAGGGATCCGGATGATGGGGGTAGCTGTTTAGTTACGAGTGAAAGTGGTTTTGGAGAAGAGTTTATTTGTTGGGAATCTTAAAGTTCTTTCCACCCCTGAGCCTTCGACTTGGTTAGATTGTCAAGTACTTATAATGAAACCTTTCACCGGCGTTTATGACGTCTGCGAGTTAAATCCACCTCTAATATATATAGTCGTATACATTTAATCCTTTATTCCATTTACCTTGCAAATAAGAGTTTGCTGAGGCATAGAGCAGCGTACCTGCTGCAAAGCTCGGAAGAGCCCCGGTAGCAACCAGTCATGCAGAGTCAGGGCTGAAGACCTGAACAAACGTTGCCTCTTCTAAGAAGCTCTCAAAATAGCGTCCAAATGCTCAAATAAACTTTGTTATCGTTACACACCTGCCTCGTGACACCACGGTGATTTGGTCCGAAGGGAAGATCTAAGGAGCATTGCCGGTATAGCAAAGACAATACTAAGGGACTTTATGGAGAGACTCGATTTAATACTCAAGACCTCGGCATTAGATATTAAAGCTCGTAGCTAAAGACTACGGGGTTCCTGGCTTGCTGTCAAGAAGCCTTTAATAAAAAGGCTAATAGCTACAAGAATACAAGCTAAGTTAAAAGGCTTAAATAATAATATTAATATAGAGATATATATCGAGCCGTTTTATAATTAATCTAAAGGATATAAGAGAGGAAGCTTATTATACAAAACTTATTAAATTAAACTTATTATAAAATTATAAATAAAAGTAATGTTAGCGGTAGCAATGAGGGCAATCATGTCGTTATGGAGGATGCCGTTGAGGTCCTTGCGATTAACTTGGGTGCGGTGTGTGTCACAATAGAGGCGTGGCTCTATTAGTAGAGATTCCGAGTGCGTAATCGACTTGTCGGCTTGCTTGATACCTCTTCCATATCTCTTCAGGTATGCGAAGTTATCAAGTGGCCGAGGGAGGGGTAAGAGGACGCCGTGGTATCTTCGAGGTCGGGAGTATTGGTCATCATAACGGGAATACCTTCGATCTTTGGAGCGCGATAGTTCCTCGGGGAGAAATTGGAATGCATACTTGAGGAGCTTCTTGAACAATTCGATGAACTGTCGACTGTATAGTACTTATTAGTGCGACTGAGGAGGTGTCTATACTTTTAGGAGTGGTGCTCGCAGTCGTCGGTGAGGGTTTCAATGTTGTGCTGATAATGAGAAGGGGTTCTTGAGGCTATTAGGGATGTACAGGAAGGTTTCTGTGAATAGATAGAAGATATACTCTCAACGGGGATTCAGAGATAAGGATTAAAGATAGGAATTTGTTTATGTAAAGGCGAGAGAGCATTAATGGAAGCGAGTACTTTTGGGATTGCCACGTGACTGTCTTTAGAGACCTTAATTATAATATCAAACTTCAACTTATTCTCGCAATCTCTTAAACCGATTTTTATTACCTTTGTAATACGCAATACATAAAGCATATAACTACACCTTCAGCCTCCGGTCCTATTATTACCTGAAACCGAAAGCATATAAAGAGCCAATTAGTCCTCTTCTGCAATTAATAAACGGTAAAGATAGAGACTCATTCGACCTTTGGCTCGACCTAGTACCAGACCTTAACCTCAATATATCTGCTAGCCTCGATAAATCTGCTTACTTCGATATATCCCCGACTATATATTACCGGAGCAGGAAAACAAGATATATTAATAACTAAGGATATATTAATTCCCTCTTCTCCTATATTACGATTTTCCTGCCCTCCCACTTTAGCCAAATATTCTATTTACTAATAACCAGAATAGTATCTCTATATATTTAATATATGATTTATTACTATATTTAAGGCAAATCCGACTAGTATCTTAATAATATATATTATATTAATATGATTTCTACCGGATATATTAATAAAGCTTCTTCTATATATAATACTTAATATTTCTATTAATCAGATTATTAGAAATATTAATAGATTCTTTCCTATTAATTTTATTATTTAAGTTTTTTTTTAAACCTAAAAAAAAATCCCGAAAAGAATTAAGTTTAAATACTAGATATAGTAATATATTTCTTTATTTAATATTTTCTAGCTAAGAAATAATAATATATTAGAATATATTCTTAATAATAGATATAATAACTTTTCTAAAGCTAAAAATTATAGTATTCTTAAGGTTATAGGATTCTTAAAAAATATAAGCCTTGGGTTTACTAGTTCTAATATTTCTATTATAGCTAAAGCCTTTTTTAAGAAATATTTTTTAAAATAGTTTATAGTATATATATTTTACTAGTTTAGTTCTATTCTAGATATTAAATAGATCTTTAATTAATAACTTAAATCTAATTACTAGAAATATTTCTATTATATTTATATTTTACTTTTTAGTATTTATTTTAAATATAAATAAAAAAAGAGCTTTATTAAATATAAGATTAAGGAAGTTAAATCCGGAAAGCCTAGTATAAAATCAAATTATAGCCCGATTTACTAGTATCTTTTTATAAAATAAACTCAATAATTTTTAGAATAATATTAATATTAAATATATTTTAGAATTAGTTAATAACTTTTTATAGAAATACCTTAATATTATTTTTAATAAAAAAGCCCGTTTTTATAATATATTTTAAAATAAAAAGAAAAAGTTATAGAAAATATTAAAGTTTAATTTATAATTTCTAATTAGTATTTAAATAATTTAGATATATAAATAATAATTCTTTAGTTCTTATACTAAATAGAAATTCTTATTACTTTTATTTTAAATACTAATTTTATATATAAAAAAATAATACCTAAAACTATAAATTTTTTTATAATTTTATATATAAAGCTATATATATTATATAATTCTTTATTAATAATCTATAAATAGAAGTTTTTATTATAGCTTTAAAATTAGAATTCTAAAAAAAATAGAACTACTTTTAAATTTAAATTCTATAATAAGCTAAAATATTTATAAACTATATATAATTATTATAAAATAGAATTTAGTTTTTATAAATAAATTCGAACTTAATATAAATAAAAATAAAGGAAATCTAATAATTAATTCTAATTATACTATATTAGATTAGTTATTTATTATTAGTTATTCTTAATCTTATATTTCTCGAAATAATAAATCTAAAAATATTTCTATATTATTAAATTATTTATAAAATATATTAATATAAGAGCTTAATTTACTAAAACTAATAATAAAAAATATTTATATTCTAATAAAACTTAAAAATATTATATTTATATTTACCTAATTTGGCTAAAATAAAAGTTTTTATAAATATTATATTAATAATTAAATATAATAAATATATTTTATTAAATCCTATATAGAAAAAATAACTAATAATTATATAAAATAAAGAAATTCTTAATTATTATATTAAACTTAAAGAGGTTTTTAAGAACTAGAATTAATATATATTATTTATAAACTCAATATTTATAGAAATATCTAATAATATATTAAAGTTTAAAAAATAAGTTTTATAAATTCTAATAAATTAAAATAAAAGAATTTAATAATAAGTATTTTATTTTATTCCAAATTTATAAAAAAATAATAAATATAAATAAGCTTTTTAAAAATAACCAGAATCTAGAAATATATATTGAATTTTTCAAAAGATTTATCTAGAAAATAAAATATAAATATAGGATATTAGTAATATTAAAGCTAGTTTTATAAATCTAATAATAATTTTCTATACTAATATTTATCTTTTATATCTTTACTTTATAATAAATATATATTAATAAAAACTATATTTAAATAAAAGGTTTTCTAGTAAGCCTAAAACTAATATAATTTATTTTAAATTATAAGAATTAGTAATTATTAATATAGTAATTAATAATTTATTTAATTTATAAATAATTAGTTATAAAATACTAATATAATAAATAGTAAATAGTTCTTCTAATTTTATATTTTAAAGAAATATAAGCTAAGTAATAAAAGTAAATTCTTAAATAATTATAATAGAAACAAATTTTAAGAATTTTAATAATAATATAATAGATATACTAAATATTATTATATTATTTTAAACCTATATTTTATAACTAATAACTATAATAAACTATTAAGAAATACTAATTTATATAAGATATTTAATAAATCTATTAGATTATTAATTATTACTAATATTATTTTTAATAGATTTTATTTATAAATAAGTATTTAGAACTAATTATTAAAATAAATATAGTATTTTTTATAATAATAACTAATATTTACTAATTTATATAATATATATTTTCTTTTAGAAACTATTTATTAATTAATTAGATAACTTAAAAATATATATTTCTTTATTAGTTTTAAATAATAATCTTAGATTTTAATTAGAAATTAGTAAGATTTCTTTTTATAGATCTTTTAAATTATTTTACTAATTTCTAATTTCTTATAAAAAATAATAAATATAATTTAAATATATCTTTTATTATCTAAAACAATATTAATAAATAAATTAGTAAAATTATAGCTATTATAAATAAAAATACCTAATTTTACTAGTATTTAATAACTTATATAAAATAATAAATATAATTTAAATACTTCTTTTATTATTTAAAATAATATTAATAAATCTATTTCTTTAAAATAAATTCTAATCTAAAAAACAAATAATTATATTAGTTTAAAGAAAATATTAAATAATAAACTAAAGAAGCCTATTTAGAAAATATTTATATTTAAAAAACAAAATAATATAATGATATTTATTAAAAGTATTATATTTAATAAAAAGATTTCTAATAAGTTTAAAACTAATAAAATTTATTTTAAGTTATAAGAATTAGTATTAATTATAAAATACTAATTTAAGGCTTTAAATATATTTTATTTATTAAATAAATTAATTATAAAAGATAAAATTCCGAATAAAATTAATAGTAAAATAGTTCGAGATATTTGAAAAATATTAAAATTAAGAATTATATTTATATACTAGAACCTAAACTTATAAAAAATAATAATAATAATAATATAAGAGATTAAAATAATATTTCTAGTAGTTCTATTTTTTTTTCTTTTATTATTATAATTATACTAATTAATAAATAATTTTTTAAAAGATTTTACTTTCTAAAATTTAATATTATAATTTTTTAAATAATATTAATACTAAAAATAAAGCCGAAATAATAAAAACTTATATTTAATTCTAAAAAGATAACTTTATAAATTTTATTTATTATATTTTATATAGTATTTTTATTAAAAAGAAAATATTTAAAATAAATAAAATAATAGCTTCAAATAAATTTCTTAAATTATAATAATATTAAGATAAGAAAATTAAATATTATATTTCTATAAACTTTATTATTAATAATTCTATAGAATATATTTTATAAAATTCTATAAATACTAATAAATATTTATTTATTAGAATATAGTTTTCTAATATAAATTATAATATAATTTTTATATAATTTTTATTAGAAAATATAAAAAAGAGCTTATAATAAACTATTATAAGCTAAAACTTAGATATTAATAAAAAGGAAAAATAAATATATCTATACTATATTTAATAGCCTTTTTTATATATAAAAATTTAATAAAAAGTTTAAAAATAAGAATTAATTTAAATATTTAATCTTTAAAATAATTATAGAACTAGTTAAAATTATAAATAATATTTTAGTATAAAGACTAATAGTAATTAATATAGCTAAAATCTATATTATAAATAAAGCCATAGTAGCTTTTAAGATTAAAATCTTATTAATATAAAAAATTAATACTTTTTATATTTTAGTAAATAATTCTATTTAATTACTACTTTCCGTTTTTAATAAAAATATTAAAAATAGTAATAAGAATATTATAAATAAGTTTACTAATTAGTAAAAGCTTTTAATATTAAAGAGATTTAATAATATTATCTAGCTATATTAGAAATAAAAGTATTAATTTTAGATAGCTTTTAGTAGTTTTAAATCTTTAAATATTTTATTCTATAATAATAGAATTAAAACTAGTTCTAATCTAAAGCTAAAGAGCTTTTATAAAGTAATTCTATTTAAATAATAGACTAAATCTTTAAACTTTTAGGAAATAATAATACTAGTAAAAACTAGAAAAAATATAATTATAATATTACTAATTAGTTAAGTTTTTTTTTTATAATTAATATCTAATATTTTTTATTTTAAAGAAATAAATAATATTAGTAAAAAAAATACTTAAGTAACTAATTTTATTCTTAATAATATTTTATTCTTAATAATATTTTATTCTTAATAATATTTTATTCTTAATAATATTTTATTCTTAATAATATTTTATTCTTAATAATATTTAATTATTTCTAATATTTAATAAAAATACTATTTTCTTAAACTAAATTTATATTATTATTATTTATTTATAATAATAAAAGCTATATTTTAAGACTATTACTAAAAATAATAAATTAAAGAATCTAATTATTATAACTATTAATATTTATTAAAGGTATAAGAATAGTTATATTTTCTTTAATAATATTATTATAAATCTTAAAAATAAAACCAGTTTTATTAATAATTCTAATTATTTAGTAATTATAACTATTTATTATAAATATAGCTTTATTATTTTTAGAAATTTATATATATATATATTAATATAATTATTATTAAAACTAATAAGAATAATAATATTAATAATAGAAAAAATAAAAATATATTAATTAAACTAATTCTAAAAATAATTAAAATACTTTAAAGCTTTAATAACTCTTTATTTTATTTATAGAGAATAATTATATTATAGATATAAATACTAGAAATTCTTTAAAATATATTTATAAATAAATTACTAAAAAAACTTATAAAAAGGCTTAATATAAATAGAAGGCTTATAAATAGTAAAAAAATAAGTATTTATTAAGTAGATTTATAGCTATTAATTCTAATAAAAAGAATTTGAATTAATAATATAATAATTTAGAACTATTTAGAACTTCTATAATATAAGTAAAAAAAATTAACTAATATTAAAATATACTAGAGGAATCTTTATTATTAATTCGATCTAATATAAAGTTTAACTTTTTGTAAAATATTTAAAAGAATTAGAAAATTATAGATATTTTTACTAAGATTAAAAAATAAAAGATTTTTTAATTCAAGTATTTTCTTTCTTTTCTAGTTTATTATAAAAAAAATTATAAATCTAATATTTTTAATCTAGTATTTTATAATTTTGCTTTTAAAGTCTAGAAATAAATAAAAGAAAAAATAATATATATCTTTATATTAATATACCCTAAATAATTATCTAATTTATTAAGGTTTATTAGATATAAGTCTAAAAGATATAAAAAATATCCTATTTAGAATACTATTAATTATATTACTTTAATAAATAAAAGTATTTTAGTAAAAAAATCTATTTTATTTCAATTTTATAAAACCAAATATCTTATTACTAATATATATTTTATAAAATTATAATTAGAATATACTAGGTTATTTCTTTATATCTCGAGATTATCTTAGTCTTTTTCGCTAAATATTATATATTACTACTTTCCGGGTCCTTAAGAAATATTAGAAGAAAGTATTATATTATATTAATATATATATTAAATTAGTACTTTATATTTACTATAAGGGCTAGCTATATTATAAGGCAAGTAATAAATAAAATACAGAATATAACTATTATAACTTTAGAAAATAAATATTAGTATTAGGAGAAAGTAAAGATAATATTAGATAAATATACTTACTAGTAGAATAGTTCTTATACGGGAGCCGTCTCTATAAGCCATACTTGAGGTAATATAGAAATATAATAGTACTAGCTAGTTATGGCTATTGTATAACTGGTTTTATCTAGCTAGCCGGCGTTTCAGTGGTTTTAGCTAGTATTTCCCTCCTTTTATCCCCTTTCCTTCCCTCTCTCTCTCCTTCTTCTCTTTAGCTTAGTATTTTCAATACATGAGATTCTTGGATTTTTGAGCCCTGGCCATTGCCTCGATCCCGCCGTCACAAGAAGCGATAGTTATATAATCCGGTAGTCTTGAGTCAGGGCTGGTATAGTACAGCCGGGGAAGGATACTTACTATGGAATTATCGCAATTAACACCTGTAAAGTTGGGGGTTTTGAAAGATTGACGACGTTTCGAGTTAAAAGCGCGAAGAAGTTTTGCGAGGAGGGAGGAGGAGGGAGGAGGCCTAAGTAGATCGAGATTCTGTATTGGCTAATTTTGGGATATCCTCAAATGAGTGAACGTCGGGAGAAAGTTGAAATTTCTTTCGCATTATATATAATACGACCAGGGATGAACGATTCACTATTTGCACAATGCGCCGAGTCTTACGATTATGCTTTGACGACGGTACTAGGCTAATAATGCAAAACAATGTAATTCTACGAGACGTGCATTTTTCGTGCCGGTCAATGGCTCAGTTACAAGTGGCATGATTCACTCTTTCCGTCTTACGCTGAGGATTATGCTCGGGAATGCTTGCGATACGTTGGAAATGCAGAAGTTGTGTGTTCGTTTGATCAGGCTGCAGGCGGAAGTTTATGGAGAAAGAGGGATGCATATTGAAGGGGATGGTTGATGGATGTTCCTGACGTCACGTCTTGGCCCTTTTTACACATGTAGTCGGTTGATTGAGTATCGTCCCAGTGGGCAATGTCCAGGGGATTAACGATCTGCTCCTCTGACAGCTGACCAACAATGAAGGATTCGAGACCCAAGATATTCTTAAAGTGGTTAACTTGGGCAGCCTTGTCGATGGGTTTTACAGGACGCCCTGAGGAGTCTTGGCGCTCTTGTATAGTATAGTGTTGTAGATTCCGTTCGACTGCCTGACTTGCCGACACGGCTCCGAAGGGAACTCATTGGTGGGATTGAGCAGCTTTTCCGGAAGGGAGTTGATAACTTCCAACGGGGTCCAGCGAGAGAGGTTGCGGTCTTTGTGGCCGGTCAGATAGAGTTGGAGGTAGTTGCAGAACAAGATATGGTGAGCTCAGTCAGCTGTGAGTGAGGTTTGTATGAGCCATGTAGCTCTGGTAGCACACTTACATACAATGTACAGGGCGTCGACCCTTTGTTGCTGGGTGGAATCCCGGTGTGCTGGGTTAACGGCGGAATGACATCTGAGACCGTTTGACCTCCGACGAACTCTCAGAGAGCTTGGGCCATTTGCTATAGCTCCTGTAGGAAACGGGACTTGGAGATATCTGAGAGTGTTAGCCATGAACGCAACACATCACCCTGAGCATAACGGCTTACCCATTCGTGTCGGAGCGAGAAGGAGGCGATCCATGATCTCAATAGCTCCATCACTATCCTCCTCGACTTTTACCCGATCGTCCATACCCTCGGCATCTATGTCGTCACCACAATCCATGCACTGAAGAGTATCCACCTCGAACAGCAGGCGATCCTCCCCGTGGTGTCCAACGACGAAGATATTGACATGAACAGGCAATGTAGCTTTGTTGAGTACAACTGTCACCCCATCATCGACTCCTGCTTTGTATGCATTATCGGTGGATCTCGCTTGTTGCTCGAACTCCATTGTTCGACCCCCGAGTGTGTTTCTGATTGTAAAGTCATCCTGGCTGGCCGGGGGTCGTGCGGCCAAACCACGAGATCGTTCCTTCTTTGGAGCTTGGCGTGCTGGCACATCCTCTCGCAGCTACAAGGTAGTCGAAGTTTCTGTACTGGCCCTCTGGCAGCATCATGTGCAAGCATTGCAGGTAAAATTTGGTAATTTCGTTGTCACTTTTCGCAACCGGCTTCGTCGTCGTTCATCTTTTCCGGTGAGAGATCTCGAGGAGGAATTTGGTCCCTGGTTGTAGCTCTCGCAATCCTTTGTTCACTTTGATGGCTGAGCATTGACAGCGCATCCAGTGGTGGGACGTATGCTTTGGGTTTTGCTCGTTGTTCCGTAGACCGGAGGTCGCCTTTCTCCTTCTTTCTCTCACGCTCCACAATTTCGCCACTAAGGGAGTCGTCGCTATCAGGCAAGTGCTCGTATTCTTAGTCGTCTGAGTAACGACTTGCCGTGCGCCCGGTATGGGAGCCGCCAACTTTCGCCATGCCTTTGCCTGAGGAGCTTTGTCGCTTTGTTGTACGCTGTTTCGCACCATCTTTCTCATCGAGGGGATGCATCATGACGAGTGCAGCTTAGTCGAGCATTTCTCCGCCAGCCGTGAACTAGCGGAGGATCTGTTTTTGCTGTGACGCAGTTAAGAAATCCATTGAAAGCAAAATTTGACATCAAGGCGAGATTTTGGTTTACTCGAAATAGCCGAGGTTGTGAGGGGGAAAATTCGCTTAAGCCTTTGGCACGTATTTCGCTTAATTATCGCGCTAAGGAGTATTTAGCCTCGCCCCTAAGCTTCTACGAGCTTCACGCTTCTCTTCTAGAAAAATACCACAATTCTACAAATCTCTTTGTTGTCATGTGACGTGTGTTTTTACCCGGTAGATTGGTTGACCTGGTACATGGTTCACTTTTGCCTATTAGTCCTCTGGATCTCAATGTGCATATTGTTCACGTGCCAAGTAAAATGTCACTATCACATGACCTGGAGCCGGGGGCCTCCCAAGATTAAATACTCCCCTCTTCTAACTAAGCCATCTTCTAAAAGATTACTTTCCCTTGCGCGGCTTTGTTACCGGGGGGCGGGGCGGGGGCGGGAACCTCGAAGATCACAATACACTCTCTTGAACTGAGAAAAACTGGTTTTTGCAATTTGCATTTGCACCTACTTACGCAGCCCCTATTTAGTCTGTTTGGAAATGACGTGTTATGTATCACAAGACGCATTCAAAGGGGACTCTAAATCATGAACTTCTTTTGGCAGATCCGGTTCGGCTTGTGCTATTGACGAGTTGACAATGCATTAAGAATGCCATCATGACCAATCGCTTGAAATGTTTCCCAACTCCAGCTTCCCAACCGGAACAGCCTCGATCATAAAAATGCGACCACGATTGCTGTTCAGTGTAACCCTCCAACTCGCGAGCAAGCCTCCACCGTCGAGTTCGAAAACGTCTCTCCATTATGTGGTCCCCCCACAGACCTCGAAAAAATTGTTGGGTCCCTCATTCTACCCTTGTCATCACTTTTCGGCTCCTCGTTGTGCCCCTTTATGGGTCCTGTGCTGCTCCGAGGGGGACGCAATGGTTGCTCTTCAACGGCAGTTCCCCACTCTCAACTTTCTTTCTCGTCTGGTTCTTGACGACATCCACGCCCGGCTGCATCCTCTTCCTTCCCGAGCGTGCATTCTGTAACACTTTGCTTTCGGCCTGCACCGCATTGACAACAGCCTGGATAGCTGCCTTACGAGATTCCTCCTCTGTGCACCCGACAGGGTTGGAACTGCAAGGTTGCCGACATCCAATGTTTTTTCATAGATCCAAGAATCGAAAATCGATTGCTTCCAGTCGCTGATCTCCCGCTCCCAAACTTGCTCTTTCCTGTAGATCTGTTCGAAGAAGGTATCCGGAACATTGTCAATGTTGCCAGCGTGGACAGTTCTGCCGACCTTCTGATCATTTTTTCACGAATGCCAATCTCTCCACCACAACTCCATGGCAGATGCAAAGATATGAAGGCACCACTTCCGGAACTCCTCATCCTTTGCCGCCGCTGGGTTGGCTGCTCTCGCGATGCTTGCGCAACCACCGAGGCATGAGAACATTTGTCGGGCTGCCTGGAGATTGCAATGACCTACCCAAACACCTTCTGCTCTCGAGGTTTTGTTCTTCGCGGCAGGCCATGTGGAGGTCTTGAGGAGTGTGCTCATGACAAGTTTTGAGCTTTTGAAAACAACACAACTTCTCCAGTTGAGGCTGTATTTATTCACCGAGGCCCATATATGCTCCTCAGCACGTTCACTCGCGGCATCGATAAGTCGCTCAGGGAGATGTTTCAGGACTGAGAATTGTCACATCCAAGCCGCGCACCAGGCTCGGCAACGATTGCTGAGTAATCGATTAGCAATCGATTGTGTGCACTATTGATTAGCTATCGATTGTAATCGATTGGTAATCGATTACTAAATGATTGTTCCACCGCTTTTACCCCGCATCCCCCCATTTTTTTCTTCTCTCTCTCTCTCTTCTCTCTATTTTCCCTGCCTCGCATACTGATTTTTTCCAAAGATATTGTCAAAATGTCTTCTTTACTTGAACCAGATTTATTGTTTGCGCGATCAGTTTTAGTAGATTCCACTCCAAGTACTCTAGATATATTAAAGTTGAGAGTACCTTGTTGGGAATTTTGTCGTATTCCTACTCCAGATGATCTTAAGCAAGACGTTCTTTATTATACCCTTTGTGAAACTGAGCCATATAGTATACGAATATCAAGAAATATAGGGGATTATTTGAGCCGCTACTACCAAATTACGATATTAAAGGCTAAAAGTAAGAGCCAAATTACTACAAACCAGTAACTTAAATAACTCTGGTACGAAGCTCAAGCTGAGGAGGGAAATGGGATTAAGGAGTTTGATAATAAGGTCCTTGGAGCTTGCCTTAATATAGCAGTTATTACTGAAGCTCTAATCTCCCTGATTATTATACGGAATCTGTCTTTTACTCTTATTAAATGGCCGGAATTTCATACCTTTTGCCAAGTCCTGAATCGAGCTTGCAAGGGCAAGATTATAATCTCTTACTCTGGAGTTTATAATAAAGTCAAAGAAGCTTGGGGAAAGCATAAGATTATCGTACGAAAGATCCTTTAATCGGCAGTCTCACTTATCTATATTTCGCTCGATATTTGGACCTCCCCAAATTAATTACTTCTTCTGGCAGTTTATATATACTTTACTATATACGATTATAAGAGGCAAAAAGCTCTTCTTGCTCTCCAGAGAGTACCTGGCCATAGTAGAGAGGACCAGTTCTCTATTCTTTGCCCTGTTCTTAAAGATTATGGTATTATACGAAAGCTTAGAGCTATTATTACTAATAATGCTTTCTCAAATAATGTTCTTTATTAATATATTCAAGCCTTCTTAGCAGAGTCATATAACAGGGAGTAGAATACGGAGGAATGGCGAGTTCGCTATATTAGCCATATTATTAATCTTGTTATCCAAGCCTTCCTATTTACGGACGTAATTAGAGTAAAAGAGCTTGAATTATATAATGGCCAGGAGGAGACTAGAGAGCTTGCGGATAAGGAAGTAATTAGGGCCAAGTTTAGGCTCTTGGGACTACTTAGCCAAGTATATAATATTATTATTTATATTCGTGGATTACCAGGCCGTATAGCAGCCTTCAAAGCTCTTACGAAAAGGCTAATTCCAATGGATAATCGAATAAGATAGAATAGCTAGTATAATATGCTTTTTATACTTTTCAATTTAAGGCCTATAGTAGAAAAGTATTGCCAGGACTACGAGGAAGAGCTAGAACTAGATCTTTTGAGCTACTAAGACTAGAAAAAGCTTCGTATAATTAAGGAATTCCTTAGTTCCTTCTTACGAGCTACTTTTGCTATAGAGGGAGATTCTATATCCATTAATACTATATTCTTTATAATGGATATTTTAATTAAATACTTGCAAGAAATAACTATAAGCTTACCCCTTTTCCTTTCTCTCTTTCCTTTCTTCCTTGTCTTTACTTAATTAACTTTTATAGGCTGAGTATAAAAAGAAAAAGGATAAAGAGAGCCAAGATTTCCTTTAACGCCTGAATATCGCATATATAGTACTTGATAAGTACTATATAAAGACAGATATGTCTCCTATTTATACTACTGCTTTAATTCTGAACCCTATATGCCGTATAAGATATATTGAAATGCACTGGCCAAAGAAGTGGGTAAAGCCAGTTCTACTAAGAGTAAAAAAGCTCTGGGAAAGGTATCGGGACGAGGGGCCACAAGCTCTAATTATTCTAACTACTAGCTCTTTTCAGGAGCCAGAAGCACTCGATACTTACGATCGGCTTGCCTTAGCCCTTTAATCAGCTACTAGGCCAGCAAGTAGGGACGAGTATATGGACTTTAATATGGAGGAATCGTATGATCCTGGTAAAAAGGGGGCCCTTGTATGGTAGTGCCAAGATATGCAAAGGTAACGCTGGCCTAAGCTCTCTCGTATGGCTATTGATATCCTCTCAATAGTACCAATGAGCGATGAACCAGAGAGAGTCTTTTCAGGGGCTCGTCGTACGGTAAGCTGGGATAGGGGGCAGCTAGAAGCCGAGATAATTGAGATACGGGAGTGCCTTAAGCACTGGAAAAGGACTGGAATTCTAGATACTTTCTTTAAATAGGTAAATAACAGAGAGCCTTTCCTTTATTATATATAGTATAGTACTTTACTAAACTTCTGAACCTTCTGGAATTAGAAAAGGGATAAAATCGTACGTATGTAGGGATTAGCTCGCTAAACAATCGATTGCACTATCGATATAATCGATACCTTACGATTATGGCATCGATTGTTATCGATAGTGCAAAACGCTAATCGTTGCCGAGCCTGCCGCGCACTGAACTCCATTTTGGCGATTGCGATGCATAGGTCTCGGACTTTATCTTCCTCGTGCAGAAGATCGTTGTGGCTGAGGTTATCGGGATATGCCAATAGGGCTTGCTGCCCATTCGGAATGAGTCGGTAGGTATAACCTGCGTTTATCTTGCGGAAAAGCTCGAGATCTTGGAAATGCTTGTTGACATGGAAGGAGGGACCGTCGTTGGATTTGCGTGCAATCTCTGGTTTCCAGATGGTGGCATCGACTTGAATATCACCTTCACACCCCACCATCGCTGCTAGCATCGTCCTACTTGCCACCGTCTCCTAAATATCACTAATTTCAAGGCGAGAGCTGGTAGGGATCGCCAGCGAGTATAAGCTTCATGTCTCCACCCTTCCAGCCGAGGCATGCATATTATGGGACACGTAGAGGAAAAGAAGGGGTCTGGACGACGGGGTTCTTGTACTCTGTGTGTATTTGGTATTGCGGTGACTCTGCAGAGAGAAGCTCTCGAGTCCCGAGGATCTAATCTAGGTTTCTAGCTGGCGTGGTTGCCTTACGTACCAGGCCACAACATGCCCCCCTAGATCTTAGAAAAAGTTTCTCCGGAAATAATACAATAAACAAGTAGCTAGCTATCTTTAAAGATAATACT